TTTGGTCAATGACATGAGACAAAGTATATGTAAACTGCTGTATGAAAAGTGAATTTACTCTGTAAATCTTCACCCAAATAAAAAAATAAAAAACCCAATCACCACCTTTCCTCCTAACACCCATACCCCACCCACAAAAAGGCCTACCTTGCCAATAGGAAGACAGCTATTTGAACCACGAACTGGAGGCAAATTATCTCCCATGGCTGGAAATGTTTCAGTGTCATGGACGTGTATTTTATTTTCTTCTTTTTTAATTTCTGACACCCAACTCTAAGAACAAGGGCGAAAAAGGTAAATACACAGTTTGAAATACAAGCAGTCTCTGGATTTTAAGTGAGTTCCATTCCTAAACCTGCCTTTAAGGTGAATCTGTATGCAAGTTGGACAGTTAGGTGTAGTTCATATCTAGTATCAGTTAGTCAAATGTTTATCTTAGCGTGTAGTATTAGCATACCTTTCTATACACAAGAAACATTAAAGAAACACTTCTAGATACACTAAAAACATGTTTAACATAATAATACAGTAATTAATAATATTTTGATGTGTATTACAAAGTAGATCCCATTGTATATACCTCAAATTTCTAATAGAATAGGTTTTAGGGGGGTTGGTTTGTAACTATGGGTTATACCTAAGTCAGAGGTTCGTAACCTGGGGAATGCTGTAATTAATCGGGCAAGAGAAAGGATTATACATCATCATAGTTTTTTTTTTTTTTTTTTTTGTGATTTGGTGAAAGTTTACAGAGTAAATTAGTTTTCCATTCAACATTCCTTAGACATTTTGCTTAAATGTATCAATCACCCTCAGAAAAAAATATGTTGAATAAAATAAATAAAAGGAAAGCAAAAAGCCTGTTTCTCCAAAGTCAGTTTTAAAAAACATTCTACTAGCAAGATCTAAATGTATATTATTTTCAAGTGCATATAGAACATTCACCAAGGTACAGCACTTACTGGGCCATAAAACAAACCTCAATAAATTTATGTTATACAAAGTATCTTCTCTGACTACTGTGCTGTTTTGATTACTTCCAGCTGCCCTAACAGAAAATACCACAAATGGGTGACTTTAACAAACAGGGATTTATTTTCTTACAGTTTTGGAGGTTAGAAATCCGATTTCAATATGCCAGCTGTAGAGGCTGGGTGGAAGCCCCTTCACCTTGGGCTTCAGCTCTACCTCTTGCTTCCAGCCCACTGAAGCTGGAGGCTTTCTTCACTCAGGCAGCGGCTGGCTGCTGAGGCTGACAAATCCAAGGTCAACAAGTAACAAAGGCACAGTCCTGACACTACCAAACCACGTGGCTTGCCATTAATTCAAGTCCATTAACAATCCCAAGATCAGCAGATAACACTGCAGGCTGCTGAATGATGATTCAACTACTTGCAAGATTCTAGCGTGCCAAAAGCTGCAGACCATGCCTAAAGCTTCTCCTTAAATACTGGGAGCAGACCACATCCCTATGGCAGCTACTCAGCTGCTTACTGTAGATTCCACCATGGAGTTCATTACCAGTCTCATCAGGGGAATATCCAGCTGCTCAGTCACTCAAAATAAGACATAGCCAAGTTGACACATAATCTTAACTATCACATATGGAATTAAATTAAAAAATCAATAATAAAAAGATATCTGAAAAATCCCCAAACATTGGATAAAAATATGCTTTTAAATAACCCAAAAAATAAATCACAAGAAAATTAGAAAATACTTTGAACTAAATGGAAACAAAAACACAACATGCCAAGTTTGCGAGACACAACTCAAGTAGTGCTTACAGGGAAAAGTAGAGTGCATTGATTGATTATATTAGAAAGGTCTGAAATCAGTGATATGTGCTTCCATCCCCGAAATCCAGAAAAAGGTGAGCAAATTAAGCCCAACATCAGCAGAAGTAAGGAAATAATAAAAGGAATAGAAATCAATGAAATAGAAAACAGGAAAGCAAGAGAGAAAACCGATGAACATAAAAGCTGATTCTTTGAAAAGATCAATAAAACTGATAAACTCCTAGCCAGATTGATGAGGAAAATAAGAGCTAGGACACAAATGACCAATATCAGGAATGACAGGAGATGCGCCCTTACAAATCCTGCTGGTGGCAAAGAACGAAGTTACTTTTCTGGAGAACATGGAAATCCAGTTCAAACCCTAATTGGAAATTTCAAAAAACATTCAAACTCTTTGTGAAGCAATTTGAATACTAGTAACTTATCCTGTGGAAATAACTAGAGTGGTGCAAAAAAAAAAAAAAAAAATGTGGACAAACACTAATTATAGAAACTGAGTAAATTATGTTTTTCATAACATGGAATACTATTTAATCACTTAAAAATGCACGCACACACACAGATAGGCATTCACAATATTCTCCTGGGTGCAAAAAGTAACCATTACTACCGAAATAATTACCAGTGAAAGGACTGTTGGTGGCGCAACGGTTAAGCGCTTGACTGCTAGTTAAAAGTGAGCCAACAATCTGCCATTTTACCTGCCAATCTTGCATTCACCAGCCCCAGCAGCTGTGTGAACTGGAACACACCAGCTGCTCCGCAGGAAGAAGACGTGGCAGTCTGCTTCCATAGAGATTTACAGCTTCAGAAACCATATAGGGCTTCCTACAGGATCATCATGACCAGGAATCAACTCAATGGCAATGGCTTAATTACCACTCAACGCCTTTTACTGACAGGCAAGAAGCCTAGGATTTCATGTAAGTGAAGTAGATACATACACCATATCACTACCGTATTTATCAAAAATTGGCATTACCTTTATGTCACCATCAATTTTTTCCCATTCTTCTGTTGTAAAACTGGCTGCTGTTGCAGCAGGCTTATCTTTCCTCAAGGCTCTACTTTGAGGAGCCAAGCTTTTGAGGCGCTTTTCACAAAATTCTGTAAGTTCAGGATAATACCCTTCCTCACCAGACCTTAAAAAAAAAAAAAAAAAAACACCTTCAGAATTTTAGAGTTAGAGCTGTATATAGATATCACCTAAGTTGACTGTTTACAAATTGGGTTCCATGTAGTCAAGAGGTTTGGAGAAATCTCAAGGGTTGTCCTTGCACAAGGCCAAAGGCTGGGCTGCTGGCTTCCCAGTGACCCTCCACAACAAGGGCAACCTCTACTTTTAGCTGTTAAGTGATGAACTGATGCAAAGAAGAAAAAAAAAAGAAACTCCAAAGAAACCAATTTTCAATCCACACTTTGAAAGTTGGAGAAGAAACATTTTTCTCCTCTTTAACACACTTATGATGACTTTTATGCATCACTACGTTTAAACCTATAAATGGAAATTTAATATTGGAGACAGGGAGAGAGTTAGAATTTGGCCTTCCTTTGCAACGAGGAAGGAGCTCTGGTAGTGCAGTGGGTAAAGCATTTGGCTGCTAACTAGAAGGTCAGCATTTCAAACCCACCAGCCGCTCCACGGAAGAGAGATGGGGCAATCTACTTCCATAAAGACTTGTTGTTGTTGTTGTTATGTGCCATCGAGTCGACCCCGACTCATAGCGACCCCTCCTTGGGTTTCCGAGGCAGTATCACTACGGAAGTAGGCTTGCCCAACCTTCCTTCCGAGGAGTGGCTGGGGGGTTTGAACCGCCAGCCTTCTGGTTAGCAGTCAAGTGCCTTACTGCCTCAGAAACCCAACAATGGTTGCTATGAGTCAATGGCAGAAAATCAACTATATGGAAGTGAATTTGGGTTTTTTGGGGATGGGGGTGTGTGGTTTCTACTGAGGAGGAGTTCTGGTGGTATAGTAGTTAAAGCACTTGGCTGCTAACCAAAAAGGTCAGTGGTTCAAACCCACCACCCGCTCCACAGGAGAAAGAAGACGCAGTCTGCTTCTATACAGATTTATAGCCTTGGAAACTCCATGAGGCAGTTCTACTCTGTCCTAAAGGGTTACTGTGAGTCACAATTGACTTGATGGGCAGTGGGTTTTGGTTTGGTTCCAATGATGAGTTTCTGTTTGTAATTCAATTTTTTTTCCCCCTAAAAGGCACAGAAATAAATGACACAGACACTGATTAGACAAAAAGCCTCTAAATTTTCCCACTCAAGGAATAGTTTTTTCCTTAGAGAGTTAAACTGAGACACTGTTCATTTTTTGTTTGTTTTTAAGGAAATCTATCTTTTCCCCTTCTCTTGTCCACCTGTTTACTCATAATTTTTTAAAGAAAAATAGAAATCCATTTTTAAATGAAATATTTAAAAAAAAATAATTCCACCTTAACACAAAATAACTTAATTAGGTTAGTCATAGGATTTCACAGAATCAACATTATAATAAAAACCCCGTTGCTGTCAAGTTGATTCCAACTTGTGGTGAACCTATGTGGCAGAGCAGAAGTGCCCCATAAGGCTTCCAAGGCTGTAATCGTCACAGAAGCAGACGGGCACTTCTTTCTCCCAAGGAGCAGCTGATGGGTTTGAACTGCAAACATTTTGGTGAGCAGCCCAGTGCTTAACCACTGCACCACCAGGGCTCATTCAATATAACAGTGGCTTTCTAACTCTTGCATCCCATAAACTTCTCACGTTCTTTATTAATCCTTGACCAAACAGGAATACTGCTGAGAAAAACAATGATATGATTTTTCATTTTTCCATTTCAGAAATGATGAGGTAATCACATGAACTCTGGCTGGGGACAAGCAGGGATGTTTAGGCGGGACAAGAGGATAGAAGGTGATGAAAGAGGAAAAGAAAAGAAAGAACATAGTGATGATGAAGGAAGGGAGTCGAGGAATGAAGAGAGGACCACAGCTGAGTGTGGAGGACACTGCTCACACTCTGTAACTCCCTGCTGCCACAGAGCGTGGGTTGCCAGTGAAAACATACCAAGAAATCCAAAACAGGTGTCCCAGATTGGTAGTCCACAGGGCAGTGTTTCTAGAAGTGCTTCCTTTGACCATCTGCATAATGATGAGCTCCCCCTGCCCCCCATTTGTTAAAAACACATGTTCCTCAGACCCACAAGAGATTTCCTGAAGCAGATTCTGGGAATAGGACCCTCAATTTTTCATTTTTAACAAGAACATTTGGTGCACATTACAGTTTGACAATCAGGCTCTTTGCCAGAGAAGGTCTGGATTCCTTGCCTTCTGACGCCACCTTCAGGCCTCCCACCATCCTCCCTCCACCAGCTTGCTGTGAGCCACCCACCTATGCTGGCAGATGGTGTGAAGTGGGAGAGTGCCCAGGAACTCTATCAGTGTAGGCTGGTGCGACAGCCTTACTTTCTAACAGCCACCTGCACAACTACCTTATGTTTGCCAGTAAAAAGTGCGGGAAGCAAGAAAATCCCCTCTTAGAACAGAAGGGCTGTGTGTGCACAGGGAGAGAGCTCGGGAGGCAGGAGCACATGGGAGGGAAGGACACAGAGAAGAGGTAGCTACAGAGAGGAAGTGGGAGGGGAGCTGTTGCATTGTAGGAAATTGTCAATGTCATGAGACAAAGTATGTGACCTGCAGTATGAAAGTGAATTGCTCTGTAAACTTTCACCCAAATCACAGTAAAAAATGAAACAAAACAAAAGAAGATAGGGTTAAGGGCTGTGCAACATAAGGAGTGTAACCAATGTCATTAAATTGTGCAGGTAGAAATTGTTGACTGGCGAATGTTTTGTTATATATTTGTACCACATTAAAAAAAAAAGGGAGGGGGAAGAAAAATGTAATATTGCAAAGTCACACCTAGCACTCCTTTCTCTGAATAATTCACAGTTATTTTCTTGAAACCCTACAGCTGAAATAAAGTTCAGAAATGAATTGAATCCTAAGGATGATATTAAACTATTCATATTAATCAGGAAAAAAAAAAAAAAAACTAAGCACAGGAGCAAAACCTTTTGAAACCGAACAAGGGGAAAAAGAACAAACAGCCTCCATATTTAAAACTTGTTTCCAATACTTTTAACGTAATTTCTTAATTTTTGCAAGGCAGCAACAATACAATTAAAATCAACAGACTATTAATGAAATGTGAAACAATTTAAAAATGCTTACCTGAGCACATAAAAAATTTTTTCCAAGTGTTTAACATCTGAACATTTTTTAATATATTTGAAATCCAAATGTTCAACGGGAATTTTAAATGTTTTTGTTGTTCCCAAGCCCCACAACGATGGACAATCTTTGGCAGCCATGGCTGAAATTCAACAGTACAGGACAACAATTACAGTATTCACAGTAATACCCAGTGTAGACAGTGGTAAGCAACTAGGTACTTCTGTCATGTTTATTTTTCATTTCTACAGAAAAAGAGGTGGAGTATTTGTTTCCAGGGAGGAAGAAGGCTACTCATTTTAAACTCTCTCTCCCTGCTAACAGTTAACACGTATGGAGACACTTTATTAAAAGGCACATATGGGCTACGTGCCATGGACTGTCTCATTTTATCTTCACGTAAGCAAAATTAGAATACAATGACAAAGCAGGTTTTTGTGTTCAGCTGCTTTTTAAAATATCTTTATGTTGATTTTAAATGATCTTCTTCCACCTTAAGTCAGTTGCTGCTGAGTGGATTACTCATAGCAACCCTATAGGGCAGAATAGTAGAACTGCCATAAGGGTTCTAAGCTGTGATCTTTACCAAAGCAAATTGCCACATCTTTTTCCCATGGAGCGGCTGGTGAATGAAGGACTGACCTTTCCCTTGGCAGCTGAATGCTTAACCACTGCACCACCAGGACTCCTGCTTCCACCTTCACTTTTCATTAAACTCCCCATCATCCTCTGTGATTCAGAGCAAATGTAAATGGCACCCTCTGACTTTCTTCTCCATCACTCTCCTCCCCATTCTCTGCCTCCTACATTCCCTGCCACTCACTCCCATCAATGAACAGCTCCCAGTTCTGTGTTCTAATACACTCTGTGCATACCCTTTTCATATAGTTTTTTTCATATTTTAATTATGTATATTTCTCTGTCTTCCCTCTTAGGTTGTGGATTCTCTTACCCATCTTCCTAACTTCAGAACTAGCGTAAGTGTCATGTCAAAACCCAACCTGCTGCCATCCATTCAGTTCTACTGCTTGACCCCATGTGTCGCAGTACAGAACTGTGCTCCACAGGGTTTTCATGGCTGTAAGCTTTCAAAAGCACATCACCAGGCCTTTCTTCGAAGGTGACTGTGGGTGGGTTCCTACTGCCAACCTTTTGGTTAGTAGGCACATGCCTAACCATTTGCACCAACCAGCTACTCCTCATATGCCTTCATAAATACTTGCTGAATTGAATTGCACTGGAAATAAGGAGGCCTTGAACAGCTTCACTGTAGTCATCTTGCTGCTAATGATGATGATAATAACAAGAGATACTTTTACAGTTCTTTATTGTGTGCAGGGCATCATGCTAGGCACTTTACTTGCATTACTTCATTTAATCCTTCAGATACTGTATCAGTTATTTTAAGTAGAGAGTAATAATGATAAAAACAGTTAACACTTATGAATCTAAATTATTAAGTGCCATATATGGATTATCTCACTTAATTTTCAAATTTCTCCCATGAAGGACAATAATTATTCACATTTTACATATGAGGAAGTTCAAGTTTTCAGTAAGTAAATTGCTCAAGGCCACATAGCTACTTAGCAGTAAACTAAGGATTTGAATCTAAATTGAAGAATTACAGAGCCCACTTACTTAACCATTGAATCAGTGCTTTTCAAACTGAAAGTACCAATCCTTGAAATCAGTTTGTTGTTGTTGTTATCTGCCGTCGAGTCAGACCCGACCCGACTCATAGTGACCCCTCCTTGGGTTTCTGAGGCAGTATCACTACAGAAGTAGATTGCCCCATCTTCCTTCCGAGGAGTGGCTGGTGGGTATGAACCACCAGCCTTCTAATAAGCAGTCAAGTGCCTTAGGCACTATGCTACCAGAGCGCCCTGAAATCAGCATTCTTTTAAAAGGCGAATTTTTAAAAATCACATTGCCTGGAATGTAACATTAAATACTATTACGTAAAAACTTTTTTCTTATCTATGTAAATAGAAGTTGTATGTACCTGTGTGTATGAATGCATGTGGATCCAAAGTAGAATTATTTCTTACTATGGGTCACTGTTAAACTTCTTGTGAAACACTGACTAAACCACATTGGGTGGTGGTTTTAAAAACAAAGAGGAAGTAGCAGTGGGCCTAATTCACCAGGGTTTTTCCTTCAGCAAGACTGCCCTCTGAGAGTCTGGTCATACACCAGACCTCTGCAGAAAAGTAGAACCTTTATCAGGTTCTCCTCCATATACCTGCTGGCTTTGACTTGGGTACAGAATATACATTACAGTTCAGCTTTTGGACAAGACTCAGCTGAGAAATTAGATTGTGACTTTCACACACACCTGCAGGGCCCACCATGATGAATGCCTCCATCACAAGGATAACCTTAAGGATGGAAGGTACAGAAAAGCAAGATGAAGAACTTTTTAATCATTGGTGCTGCCCAGAATAGAATGGGTTGTGTTTGGGAAATCTGTTGAAAGATAATGGAGGATCTTTGATAGGAGAGACCTAAGTGGGATTAAAATGGATTACAAAGAACTTAAGGCAACTGACAATCCTGATGTTTTATGTACTAATTAAAATACAGTTTTAATAAAAAAATATTTGACATGATAGACCCACCTCTTAAGACACAATCTAATGAATTTCATTCTGAACACTATTTTAACATTTCTCTGAGAATTGTTTGAAAATTCTCACCCTCCTTTTTTAGGGGGAGGCGGTAGCACAAACATTCTCAAGACTACAAATGTTAATTTTCAAGTTTCAAAAAGCAAGTTATGTTATTTGCTCTCTTTAAAATTCTTTTACATCTGTTTGCTGTTTTTGTCTCTGATTAGGTAAATCTTGTCTTATGAATGTTGTTGTATGAATGTACCTGGATTTCATTGCCTCTCCGTCACACCGATCCACATTCACTCCCCATACGTCCTAATCAGTTTATGAATAATATCTCTAGTATAAACTGCGGTGGATTCGCCAGTTACATACAAACCTGAGCATCTTCCACCAGAGCACTTTCTTTCCAGTAACCACACTCAGGGCAGAGCAGCTGCAGACGGAAGGAAATGGCATCCTTCAGCCGTAGCAACGGTTTCTATGTACAGCGCAGCCCAGGAGCGCGCCGGGATCAGAGCTAGCACAGATCCTAGAACGCTACAGACAACCCACAACGGTCAAAAGGCACCTTAAAGTCCTTCTGAAATCGCTCCCTACCCCTTAGCTTTGGACTAATCTCTTTGCACTGATCTCCGCCAGCAGTCGTGCGGCGACCCCGCCCCAAGGACCCCCGTCCCAACATCCGCCTCTCATCTTCACTGTCTGCAAGGCCCCGAGAGTGTTTCTCCCAACAGAAAAGACATCTATCCCTCGACTCTCACTCACCCCAGCTCCGGGAGGGAGGGACCACAATGGTGAGACGTAATCTACTTCTGTCCCGCAGTCACACACCCGTCCCGCACTCACTATGCTCTCAGATCCGTTGCCTGGCTCTCGGCCCCGCAGGGTGAGGACACGGCCGTCACTAACTGTACTAAAAGCGCCGCAGGGGCCGTGGGAGCGGCGCGTCGCCCAGCCCCGGGACCCCAAGACAACCTGCGGACTGCAGGGCGGGGGAGGCAGGGGCGGGGACTAGGTTCCCTACGGAGTGATTGGCTAATCCCGCCCTGCCTTCCCGCTGATTGGCTTTACTTGTCCTCGCGTCACCTCCTTCTTCTTCGCTGGGTCAGAGGACTATTTGGGGGAAGAAGAGTGGGGAAGCCCTGATGCCACAGCGCTTAAAGTGCTGGCTGCTAGTTGAGGGTTGGAACCCACCAGCCACCCAGAGGGAGAAAGATGTGGCGGTTTGCTTCTTCCAAGATTTACAGCCTTGGAAACCCTACGAGGCAGTGTTACTCTGTCCTATAAGGTCTCTATGAGTCGGGATTGACCCGATGGTAATGGGGTTGTTTTTGTTAAAGAGTGGAAGAGTCCTGGTGGCTTGATGGTTAAGTGCTAGGCTACTAACTGGAAAGTCTGTGATTGGAACGGAACCACCAGAGCTCCCTCCGATGCAGAAAAGACCTGGTAATCTGCTCCCGTAAAGATTACAGCCCAGGAAACACTATGGAGCAGTTCTTCTGTCATATAGAGTCACTATGAGCCAGAATCTACTCGAGGGCATTTAACAAAAGTGGAAGTGTGAAAGCTCCCTTCCCTCCCGGTTGAGTTTCAATACGTTTCAGACTGAGTTTTGATATGCTGTTACTGTTCTGTTATCCCGGACTGTTGTAGTACCTGACAGGTAAGGTGATATTCACTCCTACTTAATCATAGAAACGCAATTAAAATTTGATGGTCTACATTGCAACCTAGATCCACGCTCTCCCTATCTTTAATCATGAGTAAATTACTCTGGCACTCTTCTAGTTACACAAGATTTTGCTCTTTTCATCCACTGAACATTTCCTGAGAGCTAATTATGAGTCAGGCACTGTACGAGGTGCTAGGATATAATAAAGGTGAATGACACATAATACAATTCATATGAATGAAACAATAATTTTTGTGGGGAAGTGTACTTCAGTTTCATAATTTCACACTAGTTAAAATAGCTGATGAATGCAAAGTACCTAATACAGTACCTAACACATAGTAGAGGCTCAATATACTTCTCCCATTTGTATTTGTATCAAAGACCTTACAGTCTTTCATCACTTGTTGATGATGGTAAAAATTCTAATGCTCAAAATATGATTTATTATATTTATGTTGTCATTTCCATTGCTAGGGATGGAGAATAGATTGAAAATCTAGAATAATTCTTAGGCTTACCTTACTAAATTCATGATGGAGTACAGCATCATACTCACCAATGCTGCAAAGTCACTTCACACCTCATTCCAGCCAGCAAACTTCCTTTAAAATTATGCCCTAAATTGAAAACATTCAGTCTACTAAAATGTCACGATTTTACTCTCAGCCTAGGAAGGAAGGCTTTAAGTATTTGAGGGAGTGGTTGTAATTGCACATGCCTTACAATTTTTTCACTAATATTTCATTATTCTTTTGGTTATAATTATGTATTGTTGTTTACATATAATTATGTATTGTTGTTTGCCACTGTCCAGTTGGTTCCAGCTTTTTGCAAACTATATACAAAG